ATCACAGGGACACCTGGACAGGTCTCCAGTCCATCACAGGGACACCTAGAGACAAACAACCATTCACTCTCTCACTCTCACCTAGGGACAACTTAGTTACCAATCATCCTAACATCCATGTTTTTGGTCTGTGGGAGGAAACTGGAATACCCGGAAAAAACCCACGCATGCACGGAGAGAACATGAAAACTCCACCCAGAAAGGCCCCCGGACCGGGATTTGATCCAGGGTAGCCTGCTCGCTGAGAGGTAGCAGCTCTACCAACTGAGCCACCGTGCTGCCCAAGGGCAAAACGTCTCAACAAAAAAAGAAAAGAAAAACTGTCCAGATGACGTGACTGAACTTTGTTGGGTTTTCTACCTGGATTACTGAGCATGAACTTTGATGCTAACAAAGTAAAGTCAGGTCCACTGGGTGGATTAAAAATAAAAATAAACATTGTTGAAACGTGTTCTGTTTTGGATTAAAAATTAAACGTTTCAACACGTTTTTTTTTCTTCTTTTTTTCTGAATCTGTCCGGAGAACCTGACTTAACTTTTTTAGATAAAGGACCTAGACTTTGTTTTTAAAATGTGGTAGCACTGACAGCTTCGTTTCAATAAATAAATATTAAAAATGTCTTCCAATAGAACCGCACATAGAACAGGTGTTTAGATCCATGAAGACACATCTCAAACAGCTGACCAGCCTCATTAGTAACTTCAGACCATCGATTTAAGCTTAGTCATGTTTTGCTGAATCACTCCTTTAAGGTTCAACAGTCACCATGACTCAAACAAGTCGTGCGCACAGAGAAGAGTGTACAAGTAAAGAAACAAAAAAGCAAGAGTCGGATAAGCTCTGCTTGGAAGTGAACGTAGCGTTGCTTCAGGAACTTCAGATTTTGAAAGAGCTCTTTGTAGCAGAAATAAGGTGAAAAAAGGAGAACTAGATACTTACTCCCAGCTGAACTTAACATTTTCAGCATCAAAGCCATAGTCACCATGATCATGCAGATACTCGGCATGAACTGCTGCGTTCCACATGACCTGAACAAGCATGAACAGAACATGTGACTGTTTGAAATGAATAGCAATACAATATTCTGAGCTCTACGGTTAAATCTAATCCTGCCTTAGGTAATGAAAAGAAAACAAACGCTACCTTCTTTGGAACACACCCAACGTTGACCTGAAAAAAAAAAAAAAAAAAAAGCAGAAAGTCAAAGATAACTGAAATCTTGGTAAGTCACCATCTTGTGTACACACGTCTAAATGTGACGTAAACAGCGGAAAAGTTTTCACAATTACATGAAAAGGTCTATAACTCAGTGTCAAACAAATATGAATCACTGAAGAATAGGAAGGCACAAATCAGGATCACAATCTTGTGTAAATAAAAGAAGCGAACAGTTTGTACAAGCAATCAGTGTAGTACAGGCTAATTTCCTCGTTTGTAATTACACATATAGGAAGTGAATCATTCGGCTCGTCTTGCGGTCAAGGTGGAGTTCAAGAGGTTTGAAAGAAATCTGCTGCAATGGTTCCTCTCTTCAACGTCTGTTACACAAACAAAATAATGTAGTAAGTGCAGGAAATCAATCTGCAACAAGGCCGGAGGAACGTTAAGAAACTTTCAAAATATTTCAAAGCTATGTGTTTTTTTTTCCCCCTTCCAATTTATCTGGTACCACTGAAAACAGCAACCGATTTAGGCAAAAGTTGTTAATCAGTGAGAATGACTTGGGCTAATTTGAAGTGCTAAAACATTAGCGGAGCGTTGTTCTTTCTGACCGTATTAAATGCGACACAAGTTTTGATTACAAGGTCTAGCGTTCCTCGAAGGAATGCATATCACCCGCCACCTTTTACGCCAAAATGCTAAATTGAGATCATCTTATGAGAAGGTACAAAGGTAGAGATGTTTAAATACTTGCAAATTAAGTTATGTGTGATCTCACTGCACATTGTGAGATATTTTATTACTCGGGGTATGACACTCGGCTACTACCATACCAAACTTTACTTCAATAGCTGCAAAATTGACTGACTTACACACATTTTGTGTTGGCTATTAGCTGTGGTGGCCATCTTGAAATGGGTTGACTCCAAAGGCTAATGAGCAATGTTGCCAAGTCTGCTTATTATAAGTGACTTTGGGCTTGTTTTTTTCTAAAGTCGCTAGCAAATCTTGTGAGTCACGGGTTGCGTTTTTTTTTGGGCTTGTTTTTGAACGTGAAGTTGCTCATTTGGGCTTGACTTTCTTTCTGAGTGAAACTTGTTGATAAACTCTCAGCTCTGCACAACAAAGCAAAATACAAGTGGTAGTAGGTAGTTTGTTCCTTCCACGCCCCCCGTTTCCTGTTTATCCTCCGGCCCAAGTTGGCGAGGCGACAGGCGCACACCCAAACAAACACTACTATGGCTGACCACTAGGGAGCTCCACTCACACGCAGATGTCAGGATGTTTTTTTAAACATGCAGAAAAAAAAAACATGATTTACGTATTTGTTACATATGTAACAAATACGTAAATCATGTTTTACATATTTGTTACATATGTAAAATGTTTTTTTTTTTATCAGAGCTAAAAAGTATGTTATTCAAAGTGTTTAGCATAATGTTGCTGTTGTTTATGTGTAATAACATAATGTTTAAAAACAGCCTCTGTTTTAGGCAATGTGGTGGGTTGCCAGTTGGGCTTTTTTTTTGGGGGGGGGGGGCTTGTTTTCATAGAGCTGGTTGCTTGTTTCCATCGTAAGATCTGGCAACACTGTTAATGAGTTGCATCCAACGGTTACTTATAAAGTTTAATTAAAACCCATTTAATGACAACTGAACAAATGGACTCACGTAGCTGAAGAACTTTAAATATCTTTAGCTACAAACTATTGTTTTGCCTTATTCTTTGGATTTATCTTGTCCCGGATGGCTGAGCATCTACACCTGCACCACCCAATAATCGGTGAGATATTTTGTTAACAGTGTTGACTAAAACACTGTAATGCCAAAGTTCTAAGTAAGGACATTGTGCAATTTGTGAATTACTCTCAGCTACTACCACACCAAACTTTAGCTCAATATCTGTAAAACGGGCTGGGCTATATTTGTGTTTGCTAATAATGCTAATTAGCTGCGGCGGCCATCTTTGATTTGGCTCACTGCTTGGATAGTTCCATTCAAATCCGCCCAGTGGTTCATAAGATATTTTGCTAACACGTACAATGAGCCCACATCAGCAGAGCCTCCCGGACGCTTCGGGTCGGAGTGGTTTCAGTTTGTACTCACGCAGGTACCTCCGAGTTTGTGGCTCTCGATGACCGCGGTGTTCGCCCCGAGCTCCGCCGCCCGTCGAGCCGCGGCCAGACCTCCAGAGCCGCCGCCGATCACCAGAAAGTCGAAGCGGCTTGTCTCAGAGTCCGAGGCCATGATGCTGCTGCTGCTGCGGAGGGTAACAGCTCCGTGTCTGAGAAGAAGAGACGAGGAAAGTTGCTTTCTGAGAATAAACCAACTTGTTGCTTTCGTCCGGTTTAGCTGTGTTATTAATGTTGCCATAACCAGGAAGTCGGTGCAGACCGACTAGCAGGGTGGGACTGGGAGGGTCATCTGAAACCGCTGCTGTCATTGTGACTTGCAACAATAGTGTGTAAATCCCAGAAACACTCTTTTATTTTATAGCTGTCATGGTGAGCCTCACTTCACAGCAGATGTCGGGCTACAACAACAAACCACAGCACTTTTAGTTCACTGTATTTAACAGTAATACTCACCTCGGCAAAGACACGGACACCGGTAGTAGCTTGCAGATTCTAACAAGCCGCATATTGCTTTTTTTTTTATTTATTTTTGCGACATTTTAAATGATAAGCATCTCTTTCTAGCTACTCTCAGCGCTGGAGATGTTCAAATTAACCACTTCAAAGCACTTCCGGTGTCGTAAACGTTGAGTCAATCTTATTTACAAATGTGTCTGTTATGGATGCCTTCTGCTGCACATAACGTGTTTTCTCAGAGCGTTACGTTGTTTTTGTAGCATTTGATAAATACAAAGGACATTATCGTAGAAAAGATAGGCCGTTTGCGTACTGTTTCTTCGAGAATAACACGAACGCTGCGCTCTTTGTCCATTGTCAAGGTGAACGGCATATCAGATAACGCTTCCGGTTTCAACTTTCAAAATATGAACAACTTTTAGTAGAAAGATTTATTTGAAAGTTATTTCAATTCAACGTATAATTTTATTTTGTTATATTATTATTCCATCCATATATAATAATAATAATTATTATTATTATTATAGATGTTCTATGTCTTACATTGTAGATAGATAGCTAGATAATTTTCTGGGAAATAGAAATATTTATAGAAGTATAACAAGGTTAAGTCAGGTCATCTGGAATGATTCTTCTTTGTGGAAATGCTTCATCTTTTATCCAAAATACTTCTTCAGTCTGAGATCCTGCAGCATCTTGTAAACAGCACATTATCATAGTGGATCAACCAGTTTGCTGCTGACAGCCAGAACCAGCTATTCACATGTAAAAGGAGGCCCATCAGTTTAAACATGAATTGTTAGAGCCCTAACAATTGGCCGTTACTTGCAATAACAGCATTGTAAGAGGGTGTTAGTTGAACACAGCGACTCTGTTTTAACACCCTAAATAATGCTAAAGGCTAAATAATGCTTGCAATAACAGCATTGTAAGAGGGGGACAGTTGAACACGGAGTCCCCCACCTCTGTTTAACGATGGATGGGTTATCTTTACAAAGACGGCTTTCTTTACTCCTTTCTCAAACTAGTGTTCCTCTCTATCAAAAATGTAAACATCTTCATCCCTGATGAAGAGTCAGAGTCCTGGCCTGATGATGCTGCTCTTTTGTGCTGGGCCATCCTTTTGGACAGTGGCTGTTCACTTTCCTTGATAGCTGATCCAGTCTCCGGCACAAACAGAGTAATATTGTGTATGCTGTTCAGTGCCAGGAAGGCTGTGATCTTTCATACATCGGGGAATCTAAACAGCTACTGGCCAAATGGATGGCCCAGCACAGAAGAGCAACATCATCAGGTCAGGACGCTGTGGTCTGCACTCATCTGCAGTCCAGTGGTCACTCGTTCAAGGATGAAGATAAGTAAGTTAAGTAAGTGCTATATGTTGTTGTCATTGTATGTTCCCATACAATGACAAAATTGGTTCTCTGTATTTAATCCATCGCACCTGAGATGCACCCAGGTGGAGCAGAGGGCAGACATTGAGCACCCGGGGAGCAATTGGGGATTGGGTGTTTTGCTCAGAGACACCAGGACATATGGGAATGGCTGGGAGTCGAACCATGACTTTCTGGCTGCCCTGCCTCTACCCCATGAAGATTATTGCAAGCATTATTTAGGCCCCTGTAAATAGCAAGCAGCCATCAGGGCACTAATGACCAATTGTTAGGACTCTAACGATCCATTGTTATGTGATGGTGATGGTTATTGGTCATCCATGGTCAACCATTGTCATTGTGATGGTTCTCCTTTTACATGTGAATAGCTGGTTCTGACTGTCAGCAGCAAACTGGTTAATCCACTATGATGATGTGATATTTGTAAGACCGAGTTTGCTGCAGAGTCTCAGTCTGAAGAAACTTTTTGGATAAAAGACAAAATGTTTCAACAAAGAACAATCCATCCAGAGGACCTGACTTAACCTTGTTAGATTTTTCTACCTGGATTATTGAGCATGCATCAGGACATTTATGTAGGTATTTATTCAAATATATAAAATTTAAACTATATTGGCTGACACTATTAAGCTTAGTATAAATAAGATTTAAAAGTATCCTAAACTAAGGTGATGTAAATCGATATAAGCATTTTAATTTACTCTATTAAACTAGCCTTTATACAAACAGTAGCCTACTTATTTAAACTGCAGGTGTCAAGGTCATTGTAATTTTTTTTTAATGCATTTATAAAGGAGTTCTGACACAATTTCTGTGAAAAGAAGTAAAATAACTCCAGAGTTGCTGTGGTCAATTTCAATTTAAATGTTGTCTTTTATTTTGAAAGCAAGAACTGTAATTTTTTCCGGAAGTGTACAAAAAAGGCTAGCTGTAGGCTGCTAATGATGAGACAACTCAAAGCGGGCTTGTTTGCTCCCTTGAAAAGCGTTAAAATAACCCCCAACTAAGGTATTTTCGTTGCTTTTACACATTTTAAAATGATATAACACAGCTTATACGGTTTTATTGCACTCATATAGGACACGTTTGATAAACTGAATTCGCTTGTAAACATTGGAAATGCGGACCGTCGCCTCCGAGGCCTTTTCCTCGCATTCAAAGAAGGACAGCTCGGGAGGACAGCCGGGAGATGCACATTTAAATAACTGCATTCAGGTTGGCAGGCTGCATTCTTTTCTTTAAGCATTTTTATTCAGTGGGCTATAAGATAAATGGCTGCGGGAGAAAAAACGATAAAGATCTGTGTGTGAGGGGGAGGGGCTTATTGTGGGCCTCCTTGCCAGCAGGATTCACTCACTATGATGTGACTGTTGAAGCTTTTCCATCTGCTTCACACAGGCAGAGAGAGACACCGCATCGTGAGCCCACCTGTGGACCAAACCCTGGATTTTATCAGCTGGAGATGGATGTTTACTTCTTGCTACTGCATCTTTAAGATCTGTGACAGCTGCTGCCAGATGACCAGGACTCCACCATGAAGCCTGTGAGCTATGAAAGCATGCCGTCAACTGTGAATGCCGGATATCCGAACGTGGCCGTGGAGCATCCATTAAGTACCCCGAAAGTGATGTACTGTGAAAAATGTGGATTCGCTTCTATGAACGCAGTTGAGTTCAACAAGCACATGGTGGAGCACACGGGGGCGAGGTTTTTTTGTTTCTACTGCAATCGTGTTTCGTTCAGCGAGGCAGAATTAAACGAGCACATGAAGCAGCACACCACAAAGTATCCATTCAAATGCCCTCACTGTGGACAAGGCTATATGAGAAGGCTGTGCCTTGTGAAGCACATTGACCGCTTGCATAGTAAGAACGTCAGTCAAGGAGCTGCTAAGCCTGGCATGACAAAAAGTCCACTTGTCCCCGTCTCCACTGCTTTAACAAGTGCATCTACTGCTGATCCTTGTCCACCTCAACCTGTTGTCCGAGTGACCGTGCCCACCCCAACTGCACCTGCTGTCAGACTGGGAAAGGATAATCAAAGAGGGAAAACACTGGACACAAATGTATCAAATGCCACAAACGGTAATGCAGAACGCCTGTCTCATCTGAATGGACTCATTCAGCACAACAGGGCTCTAACAGTTAGTCTGCCAGATGAAGTAAGCATCCCTGCTGGCTGTTTGGTGGAGCTTGTTGAGGTGAAAACTGTCAATGGGACTAAGGAGCTCAAACTGAGGCTCACCTCTCAGCAGGAAAATGAGTCTGTGATAAAGAATACAAAAACAGCAGTTACACAAAATGCTGCTCAGGTAAAGCCGTTACCTTCCACTTTACATCACGCCAACACAGCGAGGTCTTCGAGTATGGACATGTGCATAGTCAACAGGAAGCTGTGCGAAACAAAGACGGCAAATGTAGAGCGTCCCGCTGCTGTGCCAGTGAAGATTTCTAACAACCTTCCAAATTTAGCAAACAAAGGGAAGCGCGCTTTGAAAAGAACATCACCAGAAATAATTAATTTGGAGTGCAACACAGTCGCCCCAAACAAAGTTTTCAAAAACATCCTGAGTCCTGTAAGTGAAGGAAATGGTGTGATCCACGTTACACAGGCAGCATCTGTGAACCACAGTGCTGCTTCTCCGGCTGCCTTCTCCGGCAGTGTCAGGAGCTGGTTGAACACTGCTGCTCATCCGCTCAGCATGGGCACAAATATTCCCCAGAGAGCGATGGATGAGAGAAAAAATGCAGCTGCGGAACCCCCCAGGACTATCCCAGTGAGGAGGCCAACCGAGATGAGCAACGTTAAAGAGGTATCGGGATCCATGAAGCTGGAACCAGACCTGATCTGCGTCAAAAGCATCGCTGCCCCAAAAGATGCTAAAGGGGTGGTGTGCCTCAACCAGCAAACCAAACAGTCTTTTACCGGTAGTTCTCTGAAGGGTGTTGCAAATTCTGCTGCCCAAGTGAGACCTCCATCCATTTTAATCAAAAAACCTAATGTAGCAAATCAGACTTTTCAACCACTAAGAATCCTAACTAAACCCATATCAATTAAAGCACCCGTCCTTCCTAATCATACTAATTCAAAAGTATCTACCGGTGCTGCTTGTACCCAGGGGGTCCGATTTAATGAAGGCAAAACAAAAGTAGATGTGTCAAAACCCGAGAGTTTTCCTGTCATCTCCTCTGTGTTTTCATTAAGTCAGCAGCCGGAGGAAAGCCAAGGCTCCATTCAGCCACTGGTAATGGCTCTGAGAGGCATAGTGATGGATAAAAAACACAGTTCTGAAGCTTCAACTCGAGATCAACTCAAGATTAAAATAAAAAACGACACGGCGCAAAGATGCAAGGCACCAGCAGCACGGCACTCCGTTCAGGTCCCTGCAAAAAATGGATCCTTCACCCACGACGCGTCGCTGACACGGCAGACGAGCGAGGCTGTAAAGGTGGAGGTGCAGGATGTTCTGCCGTCATCTGTGCCAACGCACGATGACCTCCGTGTCAAGGAGGAGAAAAGCGTCGTCGAAACAACAGATGGTAACAACTGCAGTCCAGTTGCCGCTTCAAAATCTTCCACGTGTATGGAGTCCGAAGCTGCTCCACAGTTAGAGGCAGCTGCAACCGTAGATCCTCTCCCACAAACGGGCATAAACGAGAACGACGTCTCTAAATTCTTGACTATCTCCCTGAGACGGGTGCAGGTCGGTGTGTGGGAAAAAAGCGAGAAAGGGCTGGAGCTTGGATATAAGCCTCGCTTACCCATCGGCAGCCTCGGAGATTGTACGGTGATTTACCCCATGCCGCTGAAGGAGGACCAGCTGGTGAAACGACCCGGTCCGAACCAGCCAGTGGTGGTGCTCAATCACCCGAAACCCCGAGTTGCTCTACAGAGAGCAAGTGCAGACTCTTTTGCAGACGTGGGAACGCCGGAAACGGTCCCAAAATGCCAAATTTTAAAAATGAGGCTCAGCAAAGTGATGGGCCAAAAGTACGAGGTGATGGGATGTACAGTTGGAGTTTTTCCATGAATGTAGATTTTGTCTGTAAACACGAGTGTACATTTGGGAGAAGATAAATATCACGAGACGTCAAAAGATACAAAATATTAACTTAAATATTTTCTTAAAGGAATTACAAGTAAAAAAAAACAAAATATGGACAACGTTGTGTATCATGTGTCCAAGTGCAATGTAGTTTGCTTTTATTCACAAGTGTTGTCGGTGTAGATTTCATATAGTGAGCCAGACGGTGCTGGTTCAGCAGTTCGAGAAGTCGACAGATCTGACAGAAGTGTTAATGCATGGGTTTTATTGAAAGATGGACTTTTAATTTGTCGCAAAGGTTCATTTTGGATGTTCGTGCTGTGGAAAAAAAAAAATTGGTTAGCCCACTAAGTGAGGGGGCGGAGCTACTGATAACATATTTGTATGATGTCCTTTTTCTTGTCACCCCACCCTGCACAGACCAATCAGCATTAGTTAATTAATGAAACTAAACAGACTATTTTAAACAACTATTCCGATAAAGGGAAAACAGAAAAGTTAACTTTCAGTTATCCTATAAAAATATCTTACCATTAATGTTTTTATTTGCCGCCAGTTGCATTGACATTTACGACGGAGCTTTAGGGTCACGCAAAAAAAAACAATAAAAGCCATAAAATTATGAGAATAAAGTTGTAGTATTACGAGAATAAAGTCGTACAAGACATTTTTTGTTTTTACAGCTCTCGTTTATTTTATTTTTTCCCACGAGTCGGATCCACAACGTGACCTGTCAATCAACCCAGTAGGCGTGTCAGCAAATGACCAATTCGAAGCTAAACGCTCCTTACCTGCAGAGAGCTAGAACGTACCATCTTACTGTAAGCAGGTTCAAAGTCCTGATACCGATAATAATCTGATGCAGATGTGCTAACAGATTAACTATCTCCTTATTTGTAAAACCAATACCAAAGTATAACTTAAGATGCTCAACATTGTTAAATGGATTGTAGCGCAGAGGTGTTGGCGTTGCAGAGAGAGAGAAATAAGTGAGTCGCTGGGTCTCCGCCTTTCTGGCATATTTATCACAGTTTCGCTCACTGAGCGCCATTTTCAAATGTAAGCAAAAGCGAAAGTCATGACGTAGTGACGTCACATATATGCTTCCCAGAAGCAGCATACAAAAACACAACAGCAGGTGGCAGTATTGGAACACGTTTTGAGTAAGAGTGTCGGTAACAATAAAGTCTAACAAACATTCTTCATTTTACCACAGTTAAAATGTAGTAAACCTGCTTTATCGTGTCCAAGTTCGGATAATATCACGACTCGTTTAGCTTCGGATTGGTCATTTGCTGACACGCCTACTGAATTGATTGACAGGTCGCGTTGTGGAGCTGATTCATGAAAGAAATTTTTTTTTTAAAGTCGTATGACTTTATTCTCATAATAATACAACTTTATTCTCATAATTTTATGGCTTTTATTAATTTTTTTCTTAGCGTAGCAATGTAATATGTTTTTGTGTGGCCGTAAAGCTCCGTCGTAGAAATTGGAGGCATTTCACTCCGCGGTTTCGTTCCAACAAGACATTTTAACCCTCACGTCCTTGCGTCCAAACGCAAAATCATAAAGTCTCCACCTGCACCAGAGAGATCACCACGTTTCTGCAGAAGTTCACTTTGTAGAGTTAAGTCAGACACTCTGACCCCGCCACCCCCAAATGGTTTGGGATACTATAGATTCAGATGCGAAGTTGTATGTTCAGAAGGTTATCAGTCACTGGTGAGCTCACTGAATGAAATGCACCAATGAAACCACTACAGTACTGTAAGGTGCAATAATGGAATTTGAACATTACTCCCATATGTTTGTTTGAATTATTTTATCCCGTTTGGTTATTTATGCATCACTGAGTACATGGTATATATTTTTAAAGTTACCCGTCATCTGAAATATGAAGAAAAATCCACAGTTGTATTTTAAACTTGCGTATTATGGAATGTATCTACTTTGGTACATGTATTTACTACTTTGCTGTCCATTCTCGGTAATCTGGACATTTTGTTTGTTGCTGATCGAGGCTTCATTACTGAATGCTGCAGGTGAAGGTAAACGAGACTGAGTGACGGTGTAGCAGTTTGAACTGAAAGGCTTGAAACTCGTCTTAACCATATTGCTTTCGTTTTGTTTTGCAGTCTCGTGAAATATTGTAAATGCGTCGTCTTTTTTATTTTATTTTTATTTTTTTTAATTAATTTCACTGAGCTGAAATTTGTATAGAGTCAACAGGCGTTTTGCATTTAACTTATTCGACTTTTACATGAAGACGTTTTGTTTTTTTTAAAACAAATTTGAATCCTAAATTGTCACTTTGCTTGATGTTTATATGAGCCCACAACAAATCGAAGAATGCAGCTGGTTTGTTAGTTTTTCTGCTGCAGTCGTACCCCATGTGGTTATTATTACTGAGCAATCCAAACCTGTTTAAATCTGTATATTTTTCAAAAGATTTAAGTAAAGTTACTGTTTGACCTGGCGCTCTGCAGATCTCTTATAAAAGTCACATGACACCTGTGTGTATCGTTTGTAATATATTGCTGTAAAGGGTGCTAGACCTATGACTGAATTTGTAGGTTTGAGTTGCCCAGTTTTTGTTTGTGTACTCCTTCAGATTTTATTGTAAATATGCCTATAACTAAAACACATAAGTTCTTTACACGGCAGTATCTGAAGCTGCTGTGCAGTATGTTGCATATTTTAGTGTCTCAGCGTTTTACCTTGCCTTTAAGTCACTGCTTACTGTTGCAGTTCATCTTGCCAACAATATCTTTTTGATTTTCTGACATCCTCAGTGTTTATTACTGTGTTCCATACTTTTATAACAATTGTGTAACTCAACATTTTCTATTAAAACCAAGATAAATACATTTATGTTCTCTTTTTCTTAACTAAAGTCCTGGTGTGACATGTTTTATTGCTCATTGTGAACCAAGCAAACTGGTTTTTAAGGGTGTTGACTCCTTTTGGAGTAGACTCGTGTTGTGTTAAATGTATTTTTGTTCTTACTGAGAAGATCTCACTTGTAGGTTAAAAAGTGTTTTTTAGTTGCTTGTTTGGAAGCTCCGTAAATCAGGTTTAAATTAAATTATAAACTTGAAATAAAAAAAGTTAAAGCTGCTGGGTTCAACCAGTGATGAATAAACTGGACAAACGCAAAGCGTCGCTGATCATGAAGAGGGAATAAACGATTCTTCTCATCAACCTTTGAGCTGCCTGTCGTGAGAGCTGGGCCCAAACACGAACCAGTTGTGTCTGATTTACAAGGTTTCCACCTGACACAGCTCTAGACTCTTATCTTTATTAGTGCGGAAAAGAAAACTACCAGGCATGCCTCACCAGAAATGTGGGCCTTGAAAAAAGTCGGACACACAAACCAGACCCCGGGAAAAACCCAGTTATTGTCTCTGAAGTGGCGATTTCTGTGTGTTTGTAAACCTAAATGGCTACAAGTGCCAAAAATAACGTTCCATGTATTATAATTACTTGTTCAAGTTGCTTTTTTATCTGTCATAATGAGGGTTTAATACTATTTGCTGAGTTTTTTTAGTTGAACATGAACGCTGAACAGTTTTGACTGTTTTGTTACAAAAGCAAAGTTCTCTCGCTTAAACAACAAAAAAGTAAATTTAACAGGAAGTTCCCTTTATGTTGCAGAACATCCATTTGTGTGCCACTGTATTTAAACTTTTGATGCCGTCATTAGGTTTATTCGCAATAAAAACAGTTTTGAGCAGGCTTAAACAAACTGAAACCGTCCTACATTTTTTGATTTCAGAACAAGCTGGCATGCTGGATTTAAACACGTGTATTTGAATCCATGAAAACGATAATTATGTATGATGAGGTATGCTAAATATGTGTTTCCAGATAGACGTTGTGCTAAAAAAAGAGTAGCTAACTTCTGGTTAGCTTTAATTCTGTCGTTTGTAGATTTGGATTCTAAATTTTTTTTCCATTAAAAAAAAAAGGTATTTTCTAAGTGTA